CTAAACGAATTCAGTATTACCTGTTCCACGACAAACATTCTTTCCCCCACGTGACTGAAAGGTATAGCGCTACAGTTAAAGTAAGATTAAACGTACAGTTTGGAGATAGAAATGATTTTATCAGGTGCAGCAACAGACTGTGGGAGGAGGACTTCGATGTACAAATTTGATCAACTTTCAAGGGTGCACGTGAGTAGCCTAAAGCTTGGAATACCACAAAATAGTGATTTTCCTTTGGGATTACAGAAATCCATTTGCTGCTCTTAAGTTCGAAAATGCTTCACTGTAGTTGGAGACTTTATGAGCGAAATGGCAAACTACTTGCAACATTACCCAATGCTTCAAAGAAGCTGTGACCAATGCGAGGCCCAGTAGATAGCATTCTACCACGTAAGTATGATCGTTAGAGGATGGCGATTGGTGTAAGTATTTTTGTCAAATCAAACGACATTTACCGTTCTCCACATTTCGGTCTCCCTCATTCCCGCGCAAAGAACATCTACGAAAACTTATTAATTATAAGCAGATCAGCGAGTATCAAAAAAAGGCTGTTTTGCCTCTCGTTTTCTCCTGCACACACAAAAAGTCCTCAATTAGCAAAACCAGCACTTGTTGGATGCGACTTCTAGCAATGGTGCTTGCAGTCCTATTTTTGCTGCAATAAATGCTATGTGGTATGGTGTGCTGTGTTAGTGGTGGTGGTAGAGAAAGCAGAGGTGAATCATATTCAGGAAATAATCCTCCTCTTTCCCTTTCCTCCTCCTCCTCCTCCTCCTCCTCCACTTTAGCTCCCACCTTTTCTCCTTCTCCTTTTACTCTTTCCTCTGCCTCCAGCTCCCCCCCCCTTTCCCGCCCAGACGCCATGATGGGTGGCCATTAGGCTTTTTTGACAAACACATGCCTTAGTGCTTCCTTCACTTTCCCTTATACCAGCACCACCTCCACTTTCTGTGGCGTTGCAGCAATAAAGGGGTTTTATCTCATTATTTTTGAAACTCCGTTTTGACCATCTGTCCTTCTATTGTCTTTTCACTTTCTGATGGCTACTGATTTTCACACACCCATACTTTTAAGACCTCGAATAGAGATGGCTCTGAAATCCTCTCAAAACGAGCATTATTTATCGTTAGCGGAGAGAGACTGGAGTAAAAATTGATGACGTTAAAAGTCTTCGTTTTACTGACTCCTTCTGACTCCATTCAGTGGCATAAGAAATTATCAAGAGCGGCAAATATTAAAGATTGCTTTAGGCATAATCCTTAATTTTGATTTTTAGTAACCTATGTTGTTAAAGTTAAAGAAACATCGTTGCAAGTGCCTTAAGGTGAAATTTTGGACACATGTTGTTAGATCGTCCCAGACTTATCCACTTAAATTGACAAATATTCGTAAACGAACAACTACCCCGCTCGCACCTAATGGAAAAGGCGGATACTATCTCAGCTAGGTCCACTTACCAGGCTACATTACACGCTGATGAGGAAATATGGAACAGGTAACGTCAAGCCGAACAGCGTGCAAGTGGCTTCGAGGAAGGGTTGGCAAGGGATAGTACTGTTGTCCGCATTACCACAATATGATTGCTTCAAAGACACCAAATAGCTGAGAGCGACGCCGTCAGCGAATTTCCTTGGTCCCAATTTACAGGCATCATACAAACTTACCGTTCTTGCACTTTAACTGCGCTGCTGGGGTGACCATCAACGAATCCTGTTTCAATGCACATCCAAATACCATGTCAGATGCATCTAGCAAACACACAATCAAATCGATCCTTCCAAGTGATGGCGCTACGACCACTTTCAGACAGAGAACCTTACCTATCTATTTAAAGGCCTGCTTATTGCTTCAGATGCTGGGATTCAAAAAGTGCTTAAGGAGAGTCGTCCCGTTAGGCGACTTCATTTTGGTGAATTCTTTGGATTTGCAAGGTGAGATTCAAAGTGTAATCACTCTTGCACAAAAAAATGTTTCAACCTTATATCACTGAAGGACATGGTGTTCAGAGGGTGACAATAAAATTACTGGTGCCAGAATTATTGTTGTCAAATGGTGGACTGACGGGAATCATCGTTTTGCATCGTAACTCATGATTGATGGCACGCATGTTCAGGTGATGGTGAACCCATAAACATGCTTGGGTATGCACAAACCACGCATGACTTCTTAAGTGAAATGCAGTCAACTCCCCTATCATTTAGTGGGTGCATGCGTAACAACCCACACATAATCTCCCTTCATTTCTTTCAGATCCGCAGTCATTTGCGTGATAACTATGAGGACAAGAAGTATCCCTAATCACTAACACTTACAGATGATCATGTTTTTTATGCTTTTAGTCCACTAAACCAGAATCACCAACTGTAACTTTTTGCTTACTTCCCACAAAATAAGCGAAAATGATTGATTCCTGCCAATCTGGATGGAAGAACCCTTTGGTGTCAAGACTGCTTTTGATGGCCCACGTTTTTGTTGTTGGCCTGTAGATGCATGATGAGGCGTTAAGAGCAGGTGCCGGCACCTTAGTGGGTGAAACCGCAAGTTTAATAGGATGTTTATGCTAACTTTTGACTGTTTATTTCGTTGATGCCAGCAACAATAAAACCCTGCTCCCCCCAATCCTAAACCACACTGTTTTGCCATAGAAGAACACTAAACGTAGCAAGACAGACACACGAAGAGATTCCAAAAAAAAAACGACATGAAGCGCGTTAATGAGGCTAACTTGCTGTCCATCTAAACACTTTTTTGGGTCCCATAGGATAAACTATGGTAGGTATGGAGATTCAACTACCTCCGTCAATACTCTATGGGAAAGTAAAAAGGAAGAAACTAACCTGAAACGGCAAAAAGCTACAACAGACTAATAGTATGAATTGCATTTTTCCAAGTGATAAGTGAGGAAGAAGTGGTAGGTCTTTATTCCAATGCGCAAGCTCATGCTTTCGTTGGCCTAATTGGATCACCTCGAGACACACAATGGTACAGTTGTCAAGTTCCATTACCGCACAACGATGTTTAGTAGACTTTGTCCTTGGTGTTTCCGTTTGATCGTGCATTCTTGCCCAACATGAGTAAGTTGCTTCACTTGTGATTAAAATATGATTGATTCGAGCTAGGCTACTTATGCCTCGGCTACATGTCCACAGTAATGATGTTAGGTTGTTTACCTAAGGTTTCCTTCATATTAGACAAGATAACTTAGTCTATTTACAAGACACGGTTGATTTTGACAATCACGCATCATAAGTGGACATGACCAGCTTTGGTTTACTGCAAGTTGCTGATTGACAGTGGCCGATATTACCATTGACTCGTTTATGAGAGATTGTCGGTGAATGTTTGCGCCTAAGGCACAGTATGACAAGCGAACAGTTGTTGGTAGGGTCATATTTTTACCATTTTCTTATCTTTGAAGTCCAGGCTCGAGATTAGGCTCGAATGAACTCAAAACGATTGATTGAAACAACTATCGAAACTTACAACAGGAGAAGGGGAACACTATTTGCCCATGGGCTAGAACAGTAGTGCAAGAATTCTCGGTTACCAGTATGCGGTTTACAGTTGTTATGCAGAAGACAATAGCCGTGAGTCTACATGAAACGTGTACACATCTTTTGAAGGTTGTGACGCGAGATCACTGCGGTCACTTTTGTTACGCATTAATTTCCTGGCGCACTGCGAGTAAGGCCATAAAACTTAGGAAACATACTTGCAGACTAGGTTCAGAATAAACTTTTCATGTGGGCGTAATAAGGTGTTGTGGTAATTGACCTGGCCATGATTCATCCGACGCGTGCCCGGTCTCTAGGCTGGCCAAGGAAGGGAAAAGGAAGGATGAGGGAGTGGAATATTCCATCGGTAAGTTGACGGCGGGAGTGGTAGAGCTCATAAATCGCACCGACCCTACGCTGATTGATATATTTCGACGTTGCGTGCGCGATCGCATGCAGGCGCACACCATCACAACCTCCCTCTTCTCGCCCTTCCCAAACTGTCACCGGGCCAAAGGAACGAATTGGGCACGTGCCAACGGGGTCAGAGCTTTATCCTTCCCCTCCGTTTGGCAGATTTAATCTCCAATGCCCACCAAGTGGTACTTAGTCAATGAAGCCCAAGTGTAGAAACAATTGACACATCCGATGCTTCTTAGAAAGGGTTTTAAAGTTAACTAATTATCTTTTCTACGTCCTAAAGGCGGAAGGTAAACGGGAGTGCATACTTCAAAGGATAGTTTTAAAATAGTAATGTGCTCACTTTTATTCACGACAATTCACACAAACAAAACTGGAAGTAAGAAGAACAGAGTTATCCAAAGCACTGACTAGACCTGAAAAATTTGAAGGCTTGAAACACATTAACAGTCTAGGATATTCAGGGCTGTAGTTACCCGACTACAAAGTGAAACTATGCCTTTACATGAAATTACCCATCTGTCCTTTAAAAAATCCTACCCACAACTAATGCACAAAATTTCCGGCTCACGAAAAGGCATCTTAAAATTGATGAGAACGCAAAAGCTGAATAACAAAGTAAAACCAACGCATAGTGCCACAGGAAACTAACACACAGACCCGACGGAGCGAAACAACAGAAAGATACATCTAATTCAACGGCTTCAGCTAACATTCTGGCGACGTGACTTTCAGACCATACTGCCTTCGTCAACAGACCCCAGATACTGTACGCCCAGTAGCTTTCACTGAGTGGTGACAGCTAGAGAGCATGTTCATGAGCCAGACTTCATACCTTCCACTTGACAAAATTGATACATCAAACCTCGCCAAGGTTGCCTGGACGGTATCTTAAGGGGGAGCGCGAGAGAACTCGGTTAGGGTTTTTGGCAAAGGAAACCCATGGCGATAGACGGAGAATATAAGAAATGGTAAAAAAACCAGCATTATCGTTATTACTACTTTACACGAAATATCGACGTAACTTAACACTCGCCGCTTCTTCAATCGTGGGAGGTGTAGAATAAAATCTCGGACATGCAATTGTTAGATTAACCAGACATCATCATTCGTAACCATGATACGGTTGCTGTTGTGCAGTGCGTCCAATCCAGCCACTATCTCAGCACGGGTGAACTCTGAGGTTTGCGCCATGATGAAGGCGATAACCTACAGCACAAACAAGATAGTGATCAAAACACAATCTTCATGCACCCTATTCCTTTCCAGAGGACAGAAAGCCAAAACCATACCAGTCCAATGAAGTTTGTTTTCGTAGCTCGCACTAAACGGCTGTCGCCTAACCATCAATAACTACAAGAAATATTCGTAGGCTATACACGTTGCTTTTGCTACAATAACCAAGTTTGGGTGGCGCTGAGTTTAATTATAACAGACATTCTATTGTCTCCTAAGCTATTAAACCACTTCATGGACGAATGCCCGCATATGCGCACACAAAAACGTGTATGCGTATATATGCATATAAAGGCATACATAGATATACAAATGGCAGTGGTGATATAAAAGGAAAAGCAGACATAGCAAGCCACATACTCTGCCTGAGGGATAACAGCAAGTGTATCATTTTGAATAACATCCCTGAGACGCGTAGTAAACCAAAATTACGAATGAAAAGATGTCTGTACTTTACGGAAGACAGAAGCATCATACCTCCGGAACGGCAAGCTGTTCAACGCGACGCTCTTGGAAGGCCCTAGAGACAAGAGTTGAGAGGATCCGAAGTCGCGACTCTGGCAGTTGGATCCCACCCAGACCAAGTACTCCTTTTCCTCCCTCGTCAAAGGCATACACATTACGGCCGCTTCGACTCTGCGTTGACTCGAAAGTCCCCGACCCAATCACTGCCGTTGCCGCCCTAAAAGGTGCACCAGAAGCACTTTATTGGGATTTTTAGGCAGTGGCAGAGGAAGTAAAAGTGCTATTTGCAATCAATTCGCCATTGTAAAAGTTAAAAAAAGGAAAATTGGGGTTTAATAAACTACAGCGCAAAAAAAATCTACTTCTCCTGAGACAACCAATCAAACTCGCTGTCATTTCAATTTAGCTAAGCCCGTATATTTCAAAGACTGACAACCTGAGTGGATTTTTGTCCAGAATAATTTTCTACACTCCTTGAGAAAAGGGAGAACCATAGGGAAAAAAGAATGAGTGTACACGCAAACACTCTAGAAAAATAGAAAACATTTAACGTTTCTCGTCGTCTAAAAGGAGTAAAAGAACGTTTGCTACATTTGACATATTTCGCCACTTTGACCCTCCATGAGTGCTTCTGCACGTGTGTACCCACAAGCACATTCTCCATTACCTATCACCCACCTTCACCACTGGATGAGGGCGGGGAAACACGCATTGCAGCCTATCACCCTGCATCCACTCACATGCACACACCCTCTCCCTTGCAAAATGGATACATACTTAATTAGCTAAACGAAGGAGGCACACCAAAGACAATAGAAACATGGTTACACTTTCACCTAGATATGCACGATTCAGTTGAATTAACGGTCTGCATTTGGATACTGCAAGAACCATTAGAATGAAGATTATAGACGACATGTGACTGAAAACCTTAATCGAAAGTTGAGAAATGTCATTAGAGGCGAGGCACCAACCAATCTCATGATTCTACCATAGAGGCATTAAAAAGTTTGGACAAATATATGGGAAGCCTACCTTTTACTTGGTCTACTTGTCGTGTTTTCAGCTTCTGCATCGGAATCCGAACACGACCCAGACCTACCAGCCCCATCCACTCCCGCAGAGGTAAGAGGTCTCTTTCGGCGCGACTTTTCCAGTACTTCCTAGAAAGGGCATAATGCAGTTCTAGTAGGCATTCAACCCTCCCCTTTTGATTAGCCAAGGCATCGATAGGAAACAATCGTCACTGCTACCTTGAAGAGTACGAATGAAATCAGCTCCACAGCAGCCTCAGCATCTATTTTGGTGACGGTGTTTGACATACGAGCCTTAGCGTTTGCCGTGGCCAGACGAATGAGTGTCTCAAGCGTGCGAGCAGTAACAGGTTGAGTGCGACGCAACGTAGAGTTTTCGACGTCCTGTTGCATCCTTAAGTCGCAGTACTTCTCTGATATGATGGCTGCAGCCTCTTTGCTCAACTGAGGCCGCAATTGACGGGCGATGTGAACGTACTTCTTAAGGAAACTCGTTGTAAAATACTCCCTGCGCAGGGAAAATTGAAAATTTACATTGATAACTGTATTCAAAGTTCAAAAATGAACAAATTTGCACAAAATAAAATAAAAATAGAGCCAATATTAAGTCTCAGACCGGAAGCGACATCAAGCGCTCAAGTAAGTATAACCGAAACCAGTTTACAAGCATTATCTCGCAACAAAGCGATTCACTTGTAAAAATAATAGTCAACAAGGAATGAAAAACAAGAAATGTTATAGATTCGAAAAATTCCAACATCGAACGACAAATTAGTCACGCTAAAAGATAAGCGGTCACTTGATAAACTTAAGCCATTGTCACTCTGGTATAAAAATTATTCGTAACACCTTTACTGACAGCGATTGACGGAATACCTAGGCGGAAATGGCTAAAAAAATCAAACAACTCACATATTTCTGGAACCCCTAACACTACCAATGAAGCCACTTTGATCTTCAAACACTTGATCAGCTGATTCCTTACGATGCTCGCCAGGATCAGTAATAGCAGTGCCTTTAACCAAACTAGGGTCCATATTGCAGGTGGCGAGATGAACAGCGGTGTCTTGCAGAGGCATAGCTTCGCCATTCTGCTCTCCTGGAGCTCGATACTGATGGGCTTGAAGAACATGTTCAGCAATCCCACGATCACTGTCAGGATCTGCATTATCCAACACCAGGAAGAGCAGATCAAATCGCGACAGCAGGGAGTCCTGCAGTGTTCAGATAAACGTTATAGGGTGTACTAGCTAAATATAAGTAGCAAGTCACGGTGTACAGAAACAAAATTAAAATACCTTAACCTCAAAACGAGGATAATTAATTGATAAAAGAAGGAAAATAAAAGTGAATCTTGGCTGCAATGCTTCGATCTTTATACCATATTAGTAATCACAGTTTTTAAGCCAGTGTCCAATTTAAAAAAGTGATCGAAAGCAAACTACAGAAGGTGACTCCGAGTGAATCTTGGAAAAAACCTAAATTTCACAGATGTGGTAACTTAAGCATAGTGGAGACAAAAGTACCAACCTGCAGGCCAATGTTCTCCATTGGCGTTTTGTACTGATCATAGCGGCCGTATACGGGATTGGCGGCACCCAGTACGGAACATCTCGCATTGAGCTGGGCCTGAATGCCAGCCTTGGCGATCGTCACACGTCCTTGTTCCATCACTTCATGGATGGCCGTTCGATCAATATCGGACATTTTATCGAACTCATCAATACAGACAATACCGCGATCTGCCAAGACCATGGCACCGGCTTCCAGCTGGCGTTCACCTAAAATCTACCATCTTGATGAAGCTGTTTATAACATAGGGTCTCGTACGAAAGCTAGGTAAGAACAAACAATACTGATGGACCTCAACTTCAAGCAGCCAAACCAACCACTCCACTCTACGTATACATGGAAAGGCAGCTAGACACATCCATTGAAGCTCTCGTCACGGGTATATAGCACCTAGCAAGGCCAAAAATGAAAGTTGGATGAACATAACCAACGACACGATAACTAACCGGTTTCATGATCGGTGGTAATAGCAGCAGTCAAACCGACCCCAGAAGAGCCCCGACCAGTAGTTGGAATGGCCAGATTGGCAATGTGAAGAACGAATCGCAGAAATTGTGATTTTGCAACCGAGGGATCACCCAAGAGAAGCACATTTATATCCCCCCTTATGCGTAAACCGTTTGACAAGAGTCTCTCTACGCCACCCAGGAGTAGGTAAAGTATTGCTTTCTTTATGTAACGGTGGCCATAGATAGAAGGCGCCAAAGAACGTGCAAGAAGATCCACGATATCCTTTAGAAATTTTTATCAATACAATAAAGAGCATTTAAAACGATTTGACGCTAAAAGCTAAACTAACATGGCGCTTGGAAATAACCCGCATCATGCCGATATCTGCATCAGAAAAGTTAGGTTCCGACTGCTGGTTGAAAAATTGAATATTATTCGCGATCAAAGCCGTACGGAAGCTGGCAGAAGTATACCCATTCTTTTTCCCAGGAAGGCAACGAAACTGACCGACAACTTGAATACGATCACCGGCCTAAAGAGACAGTAAAAAGAAAATAAAGTGGACGTGAAGTAAACCATACGCTACCTTGCAAGAATCAACTAGGTCATTGTCCAATAAAACATCAATAGACCTAGGCAGTTGGCCAGCCGGAGCCGTCTCAGGCATTTCCTACACCCACTGCAATGAGTTCTGAACGAAAAACTACCTGAATTGTTATTTTCTGATGATCATGATAAGTAGAGAGCCCATATTCAGTTTCCAGCAAATTGCCACTTTCATCTTTAGTCGGGTAAGCTCCAGCAGAAGGAAAAGCATCCAAGCTGCTCATATCAGCATAGCGACGCTCAATAGCCTTTTTTGTAATTGGACAATAGTGAACACTACACGTTATCTTAGGACGAACAACGGACACTAAAAATGTGCATAACATTACCAGAACGAACCTCTAGTTACGATTCCTTCCACACACACCATATGTCCTAGTAGAGCAGAGGTAAGAGTACGCGGCGAAACATGCATTGCTCCAAAGCTAAACTCGAATTGGATCCAAAAAAACCTACCTCCCCTCAAAACCGACGAAAAAATCACCAACCTTCTGTGCATAATCCGGATTTACATTTTGCACACAGACCTTGAGAGCGCGCTGACAGGCAAGCATTTCAGCAAACGCATTGGAAATCAATCTTAAGTGTAAAAATTAGAACATTAGCTACTGTTCAGCTCTTTTAGGATTCTCTCGACGAAGGTCATTGATACTGATGATCAGACGCGACTTCCTACTGCCTATCATATTGATAATCCGACTTTTGTAAAATTCCTAGAATTTCTATGTAAGAACAGTAAGGAAAGCCAACTGATTCGTCAAGGAACTCGACGAATTCCCTCTCAGACTCAACAAGTGATTGATCTTCAGTGTAATCCATGCCAAATCAATAATTCCAAAACAAAAACCACTTAACAAGCCGAATGGAAGCAATAGTGTCAACAGTGCTATCAAAAGCCCTACAATCCAAAACAAAAATGACCTCAAAGCCCAAAACCAACTTTAAAAAGAAGCCCGGCACACAACTCATAAGACCGATGATATAAAACAAATACTGCCAAAACAATTGTGCAGTCCAAATCATTATTTAAAAATTAGCTAACAACTAAAATTAACTTAATTAAAAGGCATGCACAGTGTTTGGTTGCATATTATGGTTGTACGGATTATAACTTACCAGAAAAAATTGTTTAGCACGGACACATGAAATATTTAGTAAAGACGTCACATCTCCATTTTTGAGTACTATCCGAAATCAAAATTACACAAGTGATGTGCCTTTAGGTGTCTGTATGCTCGCAGACGTGGAAGCAGTTTTATAAAATCAGGAGAGCGATCATAACGAACGAGGCTTAAGTAGGGTCAGTCAATCCTTTCAGTACAAACTTCACACCTATAGCATGCCTTTGGCTCACAACGTTGATCAAAACAACATCTTCAATGAATTGTAAACCAAATTCGGCATGTGGAGATTAGTGCTTTAGCACACCACCACCACCACCACCACCACTGTTAGCATCAGAAAGGAATCGGAGCTACTGGCATAGCACTCCAAGGCCTCCACTATGTAGAAGAAGGCATTACTTCGACCAACAGTTGTAAGTCTTTGCCTATGCATCAGCCTGTATGTCTAGTGCTCACTCTGGTATTCGTATTGCTCTCATACGCGTAGGCTTACCTTTAGTCCGGGCGAAAGCTCAATCCGTTCTACTCCTCCCACAATGCAGGTATCCAATCCAAAATGAGGTCTTTTCTAACTATTTGCGCCTTCCAACTTTCCGTTCACCCAACGAAAGCAGCGTGACCAACTAATTAAATTTGTTTCACACCTAAAATCATGTATGTAGCGTCCCGAGAGTCCCCATGGGATGGAAGAAGGCATAAGTAAGGTTGAATACATGTAATCCGAAGACGACAGGGCAAATGGGGCCTGAGCGTGGTCCGAAGGTCAGCCCACGTGTACAAGGGCCAGACAAATTCTAAACTGACCGCCGAACGTCTGGTATTCACATAAGCAAAGCACTACAATGTGAACAAACTTAATCCATTTCCTTGGCTTTCCTCCATCTCTCCTCAGTCGACGTCTCGCGCCATCCATCGCATCATACTCAGCACTAGATGAGAACATTCTAAAGCTTGACTGCAGCGACACCAGGATTCTTACTTGATCTGAAACTGTTCATTTGTTTGGATAAGTGAGCATGGAAACGGAAATCCTTTTAGCTGGCAAGCCTTTCTATAGCTGGACCTTGGATCACAGGTCCAGAGCCAAGCTTTTGGTAGTGATAGAGAGATTAAATGCAGTTCTGTAGGATGGATCTTTGTGGCTATTCCTTTATGGACATTGCTTTCGAGCTACATCTACTCAGTCATATTTATCAGGCTGCCATTCGGCTAGTAGGATGGTGGGAAGGATACGCACGTTCCCAATGCACACACCTCTGCGCAAGTACGGCACGGGAATATCAAAAACAAAACAAACACAACCAACTTCTTCGTATTTTCTTGAAAAAAATCGAATTGCTGGTGTCAGACGCCTCTCTCAGCTCTTCATGTATGCAAAGTTGGCGATTATCATATTCGAAGCGCCTGCACCAAAGTTTGTCACCTTCGTTGGGAAGCAGAATGGAAGCCCTTTTGCGAATAGAGACTGTCCTGAAGACAAAAGCAAGCACAATGCATGAATGAAAGGCGTGCATTTAGCGACAGGGAAGTTTGCGCCTATGGAATAACCCAGCAAAGCCAATATACCATCAAGGTAACTGCGACCAGAACCAAGACTTGAAAAAGAAGCATGTGATACAATGTTAATTAGCGAATCTAAGCAAATTCCAATCCCCAGTTTTTATATGCATGTTGGTGACATTGGAGACCTTGGTGTATTTCGTCCATTCCTAATATTTATACAGAATTTGTTTGCCTATTTGCAAATTTACTTACGAAGTTCTTTAATCTCCTCCGCTGGCAAAGCTACTCAGCGTGAAGACTAAACAGTCTTGAGCTGATATTTCAGTCCCTCTCTAAACATATGTCAATCAAGTACAAGGTCTGGTCATAGCTCCAGTGGAGATTGTGGGAGCAAATGTTATGCCAAACATCAGTAGCGTTTTTAAATTGCCACAAAATATTAACTCCATGTTGGCGTCGACACTTCACATTTAATCTGCCATGCATAAGGTACCACCTTTACCTGACTGCCTGCAAGAGTGGACATCCTGCCTCTGACAAAGGAGTGGACGAGGTGGCCTTCGGACGATGCCAAGGACCGTCCGTAACACGCATAAGCCATTCAAGTGTGTCCTTCAGGTCAGAGGCTGAACCCGAATTCGAATGCCATGCTTGCGGAGAACACTAACCTAGCGCAGGGGTGAGAATACGTCTCCCCTCCCTACCCTGCTCCATCCACTCCACTGTGTATGCTCATGCCTAATAACGAGGCATCCAGACTTCTGAGAATGCAGTAAAGTGGAAACTAGACTACATTAATTTTTTGTCTGAATGCGAGCATTCAGCTCCACCTGTTGTCTCCTCCCCCCTAATGGGGAGTCTAAGAACGCTGCACTGGTGGCAGTGTAAGGCGAAACCGGCTTTGGGATGACTTCTAGCCTGACTTCCACCACTTGCGGCGAACATTGAGGTACGGGTGAAGTACGCATGCTTCTGAGGGGAAGATCCACTTTTCCCACAACAGAAGGAATGATTATGACTCTTTCTTCGGCACTTGTCATATCCCCTTTTTCCACATGCAGGCTATCAACGTTTCAAAGTTCCCTTACCATATACGCGTATAAGGCATACGGCAATGGCAATAGGCTAAACCTCCTTCCACAGGGGAATGTGCCAAATCCTGTATTTCCCACCCGAATCTGTCTTAGGCATGGTTTCAAAGTCTGGTTCTGGACACAATGGGTGGACAATAGAACTTCCTGCCTGTGAATCCTGTATTCAGGTCAAATGTAACTGCAGCTCCTGTTGAAGCTGCTAGGGTGTTTAAACACATATCTTCAGCCATAGAGGAGGGAACGACTAGCGCACGGAACATGGTGTGGTGGCTAGAGCGAGAGGTCTGTGTAGGAGAACACGTACAGGGTCGAATCTGTGTATCGTTTATAACCTTCGGACCATCAACAAAGCCAAATCCCTTCTTATCCTCCTAGAATACATGTATTCAGCCCAAACTTAATGCTCGCTTCTAAATAATGGACAGGCTTGAAAAGCTACAATGAGGGTCTCCTTATGCGCAAAAGGTCCTTTTACGCACTGTAAATTCATGCAAACTGTTCTTAAGTTCGAGTATTTGGCATTGGTTTTTTTATTATCACTCGTTTAATGATAAAACACAATTGGAAATATTAAGCTTTATAAAATTTTAATTTTTCAGACTTCATAACAAAATGCAAATCTTAACTACATTTTTTTAAATTCTTGTAGTAGTCTTTTTCGAAATATGATGGTGATGATGTTGCCCTAAATTCCAACCACCTGATTAAGTGTTCGATTTCGTCGTGCCGATGTCTGCTCTCGGTGATGCAGGTTTTGTGTACTCTCTTCCATCATTTAAGAGGTAAAATGTCACCAGCCAAACACAGTCCTAGTGAAACACAACTAGCTAAATCCATCTCCACCTTAAACTATCTGGAAAAATGCCTCAAGAATAGTGACTGGGAGAATGCGAGGTGAGCATTTTGCCTGTTTATCACTTTGTAGAGAACTTATGGAAGTTGTGAATGGGGTAGGAAAATCATTGTTGAAGTGCTCTTTTGAAGAAACCGCTGTTCACAATACCATATTACGTTTCCTAAAATTAATAAGAGAGGAATCTCTGAGGTATGTTATTTGTGTTGTGGTGATCTGCACCAGACTCTTTCCTAGCGGTAAAGTGGAGAAGAAGGGGCTTCAATCAGTAATCAAGCGTTTGCGTTTTTCTAGGAAAATGAAAGACCTTAGTTTCTAGCGCAAGTTCAAACGACTGGTCTCTAGTGAGTAGGGAGGAGCTCTGTAACCAGTTACTGACTGCTTTGGTCGAGTTAAGGGCCGACATCAAGGGCCACTTGAGCT